AGCTCAGCGCTCTGGAGACAGTGGAGATGGATGTGGACTTCAGAAAGAACCCAGCCCCACCCTCCCACATCATCCTGGGTGACTCTGCAGTCGCCACTGTGGACTCCTTCCACTTCCTGGGCATCTCCCAGGACCTCAAGTGGGAGCTAAACATTAACTCCATCACCAAGAAGACCCAGCAGAGGATGTTGTTCCTGATGAAGAAGTTCAGCCAGCCAAAGACAATGATGGTGCACTTCTACACCCCCATCATCTGTCAGAAGGCTGCGGTCCATCAGGACCAAAACCTCTCGCCACAAGAACAGTTTCTTTCCGATGGCAGTGGGCTTCCTCAACAAGGCCCGGGTCCCCACTGTCACTGACTCTCATGCCCCCCCCAAAAAAACCCACACACACACTCCTGACCCCACACTTTACAACAATACTCAACTGTGCTTTATGCTCATGTTGCGAACTTTTGCACATACTTGGCAGTATTTTATTATTGTATTTTTTTGTATACTTGTACATTTTTTGATCTCCTTACTTTTTAATTTTTTTTGTGTACTGTAAGCACCAATTTATACCAAGGCAAATTCCTCGTACGTGAAAATGTACCTGGCAATAAACCTGATTCTGATTATGCCAGGTTTACATTATACTTACACCTTTAAAACACTGTAATATAACTGGTCAAGCCTGCTGTACTCATGCTGTTATGCTTTACCCCCCTCCTCATTACTACTACTACTCAAATGTAGTTAATGTTTAATTAGTTTTCACATGCTTTACATTGTCATCACCCATGAACTACAAAAGAGCCCAGCAGGACCATTAAAATCTAACTTAGCTTGCAACATGTCAGGCTAACTGTAGACAAGCTGTTATCCTCATTCTGTACAACAGGCCACTGATAAGGAAAAACTACAAGTCTCTGGTCAATGATCCACAGATTCATGGCCTCCACATGTGGATTGTTTTCCACTAGTGTTTTTGCAGCTTGTGCCCGGTTTACACCACAAGCAGGGTTGAGATTGGTGCTGCAACTTGTGATATGGGTACAACAGTGATTCTTCAGCTGCTCCACACACACCAAAAATAACCAGGCGAAGGGTGCCAAAAACACCATCACCAGTAGAAGCGAGAGACGGAGCCAGTGAGCGTCTTCAAGTAATGCTTTCTTCTAATCCAATAATATTTTAATCCAAGTCTGTAATCTTCTCTTCATAGTTGCAAGTGTTATAGAAGAGCTGCATGAGCTATATAGTACATTTTATTATCGTAATTAGTTAAAATCTCAAATATATTCAGTTAACTGTCCTACAAAGAAAAGCATAAAATTCTCAAATTTGAGAAGCTGTAACCAGGAAATTTGGGACTGTTTTTCTTGAAAAATTACAAAAACTTTTAATTAATTATCAAAATAGTTTCAGATTAATTGCTTGTAGATTGCCCGATCAAATATTTGACAACATTTTGCAGCTCTAGAGTACATTAGAAAATAAACCATCATATTAGTGTATGTTAAAAAATTAAAATAAAACCTTTATTTTACTAAGAGAAGTAAAACATATCCTGTTGTTGTTCCTCTCTCAACATGGCATTAAGTCTAGACCACAGCTTTCTTAAATGCTGCTTATTATATTACCTCCAGTAAAGGTTTATCAGGAATGGACTTCGTGGCCAGGAAATTGGAAACACGCGCAATCCAATAAAACTGTGCTGCAATAAATACAAACTCTGTTGTAGTTGATTCATTCTCAGAGTTACAGTTTTTGAGGCTGTAGTGTCTGGTGTGGCACTGGATTACATTATATCATGATGTGTTTCTAATTTTATGTCCATCTATGTAAAATGAGTTGGATAAAATATTAAAACATTTAACAACTGCATGACACACAATATGAAGACGTGTTTGTCTCGGTTCTATGGATTATTTTCATTATCGTTTAATCTGACGATTGTTTTCTCAATTATTAAACGTTTCTTTGAGTCCAAAAAATGTCATAAAATAGTGGAAACTGTCCCCTCACCATTTCACCGAGCCCAAGGTGACGTCTTCAAATTGCTTGTAACAGTTCAAAACCAAAAGCAGTGCATATTCAGGTTTCTTAAAACCAGGATACAGCCTTATCCAGGATATGATGTTTATTGTAGAGCCCGACCAATGAATCAGTGTGCCGATATGATTGGTGCTTATAACAGCCGATAAATGATAATTAAAAAAGAAACGGAGCTCTGCAACTACCCTGTTGGCAATACATTTGTTTGGAACAAATCCACCACAAAACATACCTATCAGCTTTACTTTTTTTTACGGTAAAACTTCAATTAATCAAATAGCACCCTGCCTTTAGGACAGGCGTCTATATGGGACAGGCCTTTACATCCTTTACTATGCCGGTAAATCGGAATGAATAATACTTTGGTGCTCATTGTTTCCTTAAAATGATGATAAAAACCATAAAATCTATAAAAACCAGACCAGGCTTCTAATTGAGACCTGCATTTATTTGTCAAAACGTGGAGCCACACCAGGCCAGTAACCAGGCGTCTAACTGGGACTAGGCTTTTTTAATTTAAGTTTTACGTCTTGTTATCTTAGTGAAGTCTCATCACTACACAAAACAAATGTTAGGGATAATCTAGATGGGGAGAAAAAAAGAATATTGGGCAAAATATCGTAATCATCAAAATTGGTATCAGTCTTAAAAATCGGTTGGGCTCTAGTTTACATGCATAATTGTTCCAGTTAGTTTTAGGGCCACTGTACCGTACTCACATGCAAACAGAGAGAAAGTAAATTGGTCACTATTTTGATTCTGATAACTGAATCCGTGTTTTAAACAGAGCTGCAATGATCAATTGATAAATCCATTAAATTAATCGCCAACTATTTTGTTAATCAATAAATCGCTTTTAGTTATTTTTCAAAGAAAAATCATCCTAATTCTATGATTCCAGCTTCTGAAATGTAAATATTTTCTGGTTTCTATACTTCTCTGTGAGAGTAAAGTAAATACATTTTGGTTGTGGACAAAAATAAAAAAACACATTTGAGGACGTCACCTTGGACTTTAGGAAACACTGATCAACATTTTTCACCATTTTCTGGATTTAACAATTAATTGAAAAAATAACAGACAGATTACTCGATAATGAAAAAATTTGTTAATTGCAACCCTAGTTTTAGTTCATTGACTGGTTCCAGGTTTTCAAGTGTGAGGATGAGATCTCTTTTTACGTCGTACATGATCGTAAACTTTGGGTTCTGAACAATCACCTAGAGCTGTGGGAGATTATGGCAGCCATTTTTTTAAATTTCTGACATTTTATAGATAAAATTATGCATTGAGTAAATAATCAGCAGATTAACTGATAATGAAAATAATAGTTAGTTGCAGCCCTAATACACTAGATCAGGCCATATCTATTAAGTGATGTGTCATTTTAATAAAACCAGGTGCAACCAAATGATCGCCTTCAAAACAAACAAGTGAGATATGTCATTAAAGAATTTCTTCCTGGTTAGACCAAGCTGTTTGAATGCTTTGTGTGTCAATCAGTCAAACAAAAACAACACTGGAGGTAGGGCTGGACAATAAAACAATAACAATCGCAATATAATTTTTTTCCAACAACAATATAGCAAATATTCAATAAATGTTTGATTTTATTCACTTGAATCATACACGAATTAGGACTTAATTTTTTATTAAGATGGTTATTTTGTTGAGGAAAAAGGACTGAAAAAAAGCTTTTACAAAATTTTACTCATGCATATGTGTTGAAAAAGATTTGATCATAATTGTTTTGAATGTTCTACCTCAGATTTGTGAAATGATCCACTGTTTGGCATCAAGTGTTGACCATAAAGACGAGTTTAAACCACAAATAACCATCAGGTTTCTTCAACTTTCCCTCAGTAGCAAAAATCCGCCTTTAAAACTCAAAAGAAATAACAATTTGATACTTATCGTGATAATTATCGATATCGAAAGATATGAAACTTTTTATCGTGATAACATTTTTGGCCATATCGTCCAGTCCTAGCGGGAGGTGAAAGAGTTTGTGACTGACCGTGATTTTATAGTAGCTGCTCTAGTTGGATTTGTCACTAATGTCTACTCTAACAGCTCTATAATATCTGTCACATTTCCTGCAGGTAAAATATTGTATACTTTAGCTTCTTACATGCTTGTTGAGCTAAACTCATGTCTTCATCTGTCTGGACTGAACAGTGAAATAATCTCAACAGCTGTGGAGGCGTAACTCCACCTCTAATTGTTCTCCTATGTTTATGTGACTCCCTTTAAAACTACAGAGCAATGTCTGGCCAGACCAGATCATATTTCAGGCCTGTGAACGTGCAGCAACAGATGGTAGATCACAAGGGGAGGAGGGGAGGCAAGAGGAAGAGGAGGAGAATAAGCAAACCATGAGGCACAATTATGCTCCAAAAACTCACCAGTCTGCGGTTGTCCTGACTCCTCCTTACAAAAAAAGCCTTCCCATGTAATATAGGACTGACTTTAAAGAGGCTTTTTATGAACTCACAACATCAAGTACCAAAAGGGTTCTCATCCCATTAGGGCTGGGCGATATGACCAAAAATGTTGTCACGATAAAATAATTTAATATCATTCAATATGACAATTATAATGATAAAAGTCAGATCATTGTTTCTTTTACGTCTATAGGCTGATTTTTGCTCCAGGTCAGGAGCAAATGGATCACTTAACAAATCTGTGGCAGAACATTCAAAACAATTACGATATCATCTTTTTAAATAAACAAATAAACATGAGTAAATGAGTCTCTTTTCCTCAAGAAAATATATATATCTTCATAGAAAAATTAAGTGCTGCTTCATTCGTGATTAAAATTTATTTGCTATGTTGTTATTTAGGAAAATTATATCGCGATAATCATGAATCTTGTTTTATTGCCCAGCCCTACATCCCATGTGCATTTCAAAAACATAAATCAAACTACCTGAAAGCAAAGATAAGTTAATTCACCTCTTGCATGGATCGTTTGGCCCTCTCCAGAGCATCCTCATAGCCTTTCTGCCTCAGCTCGCTCAGGCTCTCGTAGTACTCCTCCGTGTCGTCGCCTTCGGAGAAAAGCACCTGTGAGAGGATCTTCCAGCCGCAGGTGTCCAGGGCATGGCCCAGGTACACCTGCAGCTGGTAGCACAGGGCGTCCGTCTCCCGCTGCGACACCCCGGAGGCGCCAAAAAGCACCGTCCACACGCCGGACTGCTCCTCCGGAAACGAGGGTAAACACGGCTCCAGGTCCGAGTTGACGGCGCAGAGCTGGAGGTGGACTGCCCTCAGGTCCTGGAAGGAGAACAGCCCGGCCCAGCTGAAGCCCTCACGCCCGCTGCTCTCCCCGGCCTCTTGGTCTGCATCCTCCGGAGACAGCGGGGCATCCACGAGATCTAGGATCTCTAAATCTATAACCTTCGGTGTCACAATATCCCAGGACCCTAATGTGTGGCTGATACACTCCGATGTTTTTGAAGCCGTCTTGCCTCCAACATGAGTCTTTGTTGCGGGTTTTCCTTTGGGAAAAGAGTGCGGTCTAACTTTACCCGTTTGGCAGACTTCATCTTTCTTCGTCTTGAGAGGACTTTTTGTGCGTTTTTCTGCCACGGAGGCACCGGGGGCAGGGAGAAAAGCGGGGCTAGTGCCGTCGAGGAGCGGGTCCAGAAACGTGCTCCGTCTCTGTACGGTTCTGTTGTGGCAGGTTATGGCGAACTTTCCCTCGATGTCGTTCCAGGCCACGATGAAGACGAATTTATGCCTCTCTTTTTCGTCGAAGACTCTGGGTCGGACGGACACCCATCCGGACTCCAAGTTATCCTCCATCGTGAATGACATCTCATCCAGCCAGTAAAAAAAAAAGACGAGCAGATTAACGTTGGCCTGAAAAAAAAAAAAAAAAAAAAAATCTCTTCTGATGTCGAAGGCTAAAAGGCTACAGCTAGCTACGGACAGCTAACGTTAAACGCCAGATAGAAAAGTAAGATTTGGCGCAGATGAAGCGAGCGAACCGACCGGCTGAATTAGGAGGTGAAACAAAGGCTTTTCCCAGCTTTGTTTACCCGCTGCCAGCTGCGCGCGAGCTGGTGAAAACGCAGCTACCGTCGTTGTCCCTCCTAACGGTCGGATTTGGGATTCAGACATGAAGAAGTTCAACGGACGCACGCAGCGGTTTAACCGACACCGGCTTCACGTCGGGGAAGATATAACGTCGGTTGTCATGACACCTGTCTGCGTGGTTACCTGCCCCGATGCTCGCGCAGACTGATGTCGCTCTTTGTCCGATCCACAGACAATGCGGTCGCGCGGCTCGGCTCTCGGGGTGTCACGTGTGAGCTTCTGTTTACAAGCAGTCAAGGTGCGTGTTGTCAAATCCGGGGAGGGATTTAACTGGTAGAACGATGTGGCGTTCAAGTTCCATGATGAGAGTAGTAAAAGAAACGATACTGATACTTTATATTATTTCCCAAGACATGATGTTAGATGTTAAAGAGTTAGGAAAGCATGTCAGGGAAATTCCTTGTTTCAACCTGGTTTCAACCTTAAAGGTCAGTCTCGTGCAGCATATTACACCCATAACGGGACACAACTGACCTGTTTGCGTCTTTACATGTTGTATGTTTGTGCCAACACTGTCAATAAAGTCAGTAAAAAAATGTCATAATGTATGTGGATTAAGTACAAACAACAACTAAGACACATAAAACCCACTACAAAGAGATCCATAATTACTAAGGATACGCGAAACGATCGCAAAATGACGCAAAACAAACGCAAAGTGTTGCGTTGTGTTAAATAATAAGTGAAATAATTGATTTGTGTTAGAATTCAGGTGTGTCCCATTCTGGATGTGATATGTTGCAAGAGCCTTTAAGGTTGAAACAACGCATTTCTTTCCTAATTCTATCAACCAATATGCCTTAGGAAATACATTTTTAAAAACTGAAATTTCTTCATCTTTTTTCTATAATTCTTAGTCCCACACAGATATTTTTTAAGGTAGACATGTTTCAGGGTTGTAAGTTAACGACCCTTTAAACATGAAGCTTATGTGTATTATTTTTCCTATGTGTCCTGAAGGCAGCATAATAGTCCCCTTATTAGAGGAGTGTGTTACACCATAAAACAGTCGGCGATATAACATAAATCCGTATTAATGAGTTTTCTCATTCATTAATTTAATGTTTTAAGTTAAAATATTTGTAGGTTTTCCTCCAGTCTCCCTTTGCTTTCTATAAATCTTTCTGACTGTCTCTGGCAGACGTGCACGAGGAGCATAAACATCTGCACGTGGGAAAATCCATGACGCAAACACGCACATAAGGTGCGTAACGGCTGGGTGCTGTACGGCAAGCCGACTGGGACAAAAGGTATTTGTGTACAACGTACAAACCCTACAAAGAAAATCAAGAGATGTTCGTTTTAAAACTCAATCGATGATATCTTAAAGAAATTTATAGATTCTTTGCCAAAAATAAGAAAGATTTTTGTTATTTATGTTACAGGCTACCATATTTGTTTTTTTATGATGTCTGCAGCTCAAAATCAAATTATATTATTTTATACATCTTTTTATCATCTTTGCACAATATCACATCCACAAATTAACATTTTGTAACAACATAAATCCTTGAAAAAGTGAAAGGTTTAGTAGCCAACATAAAATACAACACTACTGTTTCTCTATTACCAATTGTCCATATTTACATTATCACTACTTATTACACTGTTCGATGATGTTAGTCATTTTACCAGCTTTAAATCACACAGTCTATGGTTTAAATGTAGATATTGTGTCCCTGTCCCCCAGACAGTATACAGTTTACAGGCAGGTTGCCTGCTGCTGCATATATATATATATATATATATATATATATATATATATATAGTATTTTATAAATGTATTGAACAGATGTATTAATGGCTAAATATGTCTTATATAAAAAACTAATAATGTATTCTTATATTTTTGAGGTGTCATTAAGGCAATAAAGCACATTCAGTTCAAACATAACCTACAAGTCCAAAACACGAGATTGGAACTTTTTGAGACGTGTGGATGCACCAACATCAGAGGTATGCTCAAGAAAGCAATAATTGACCCGTGGTCTATTTGTTAACCAGATTTTATCAAAATCTCTCTTGGCAGGTTTCTGACATATCTCACAAAAAGACAAATGTAATTGAGTACGTCTTTGGCCAAGGATAATATGAATTGTAGGACTCATCTGACTTTGCTTTCATTTATAATAATCCCCAGCTGAAAACTGGGAACCAAAACATTTGTTCTGGTTTCACATCTACGCCCTGTGTTAAACCGTGAATGCTGTGAGAGATACAGGCCAACTAGCCTCATCCTTGCTGATCTTCTGGCAGGATCTGGAAAGGGGGGCAGGTGCAGTGGACTCCATGAGGGCCGATGCATATGCTGGGGAAAGGCAAAAACATGTTTAATACCGTGTTTCCCAAAGGTAGGGATGCCAATTGGAGTAAAATTCATAATATGTGAATGAGCATTCTTTTTTGCTACCCTTGTCTGTGATCTGTCACTGTTGATCCAATGTCTAGAGTACAAGGACAAGTTTATAGTTGCTTCACGGTGTAATATGTGGGGAAGTGCTCAGTAATGACGGTTTTAAAATGAGTAAATTGGACAGGTATCTCCAAATGCAACATCTTGGAAAGTAGACTTTCTTTTCAAAGAAGAATCCTTCAAGATCTGTTGATTCAATATGTGACAACATACTTGTGTGAATCTGGCATTCTGACTTTAGCATACCAGAAACAGACTAAATGATCAGCATGACTTCATAATGGCACTTTCAATAACTGAGCCCAGAGTAAATATCATTGGTGATGATGGGAAGGGATAAGAAAATGAGAGCAGAGAAAGGAAAAGAAAATAGACCGTTGTTTGTTTACTTTAAAAAGAAAATGTATACTTTATATACATGGTTTGTTTTGCCCTTTATCCGTAGTTTGTAAATGTAGATTTATTTTTGTAAATTTGGGTCCCAGAGAGACACCAGATTTCTCTTACAGGTCTTGAGCTGAAAAAGTTTGGGAACCAGTGATAACACACTGGTATGACCTGGCTCAAAAGGCCACAACAAAAGGGTGTGGATGTGTTTATTTAATGAAAATAAACCAAGTCAATAGTTACTTCAAATTAACATAATTAAGGTATGAGGTATGTAGTCTGTGAGGCCAGGGAGGTCTGATCTGGTCTTGACAGCAGCCCCTTGCCGAATGCAGCCCCCCCCCCCTTAAAACAGGGGACCCAAAACCTACTACCTACAAATACACAACAAAAACATTATAGAACAAACACTCTGGCTGGTCACCAGAGATAAAATTACACAACACAGCTGGGACACAAGACAGAGCATCCACCACAACATTATCCTTGCTTTTGACATAGGCTCCAAACCACACCAAGATCCGGTCTTGCAGAACACACAATACTGACAACTGGGAAGTTGGGGTCAAGGCCCTGACCTAAAGTTCACATGAAAATGAGCACCCGAAGCTCATCCCAAACGAACAAGTTGGTCTTCTGCTAGACATAATATACCAAGATTCCAGCAACCAAATACACACAAAACTGGAACGATCACCAACCAAACCAAAGTTTCCTCCAAAGTTTCTTCCAAACAAAGGCTCACTAGCCAACCAAGTCGTCCCAAGATGCACAGCACAAGGAAACAAAGTTACAAACAAAGCATGAGCCAAGCGCTTAATGTATTTTACCAAAACTAGCAGGCCAACCCACAGAGTCATTTGCTAACCTGGATGGTTTACTTTCCTAGTGCCAAAGTTTTAATCCCCCAACCAGACCAAAATGTACAATAAACCCCAAGATACACAAGGTTTAAGGAAATTTAGTACTACATCATTTAAGATTAGACAAAGCACTGATGTACAGTTTCAACCGTCCCTGGTGGTAACACCAGCACAGAAACAGGCGCCGCCACAGCAAGTTTACTTCTCTGCAAGACATCCTGCTCAACCAAAGATGACAACATTTTTAATGTCATCCTTACCACTCACTAACACCATAATGCTCTGTGTTCCTGACTAGTTGCTCTCTTAAAGCCGCTGGTAAATGCCACCATAGGCACACCAAAAAAACCAAAGTCAAAGAAGCCATAACTACTGCTTACGAATCAGACAGTAATGTTAGCTGCAGATACACACAGCCCCAAACACAAACATTTCCCTCCTGACTGCCTAACACAAACTAACTACTCACCCCTAGTCTTCATGCGGCTTGTGGTGGGTGTTTACGCACGCAAAACCAGCGGATCTGTGGAGGAACCTGCACACAGGCACCCCACAAAATCACACGGATGTGCCCCCGAGACAGCTTGTCCGAAAACAGCTGACACTAACCACATCACCACAACTCTATGAAAACAACAAACTGACGCAACCCAAAGGGGAAACACCACTTTTGCCTAATGGTGAATGCCTGTACAGAGTGTACCAAAAACACAGTTACACTTACCCTCTGATCAGCACACAAAAACCTTATCCCAATCAGGCACTAAGGTTTCCTGAAAACCAAAACACATGATGCATCTCCCAAGACAAAGCACCAAAAACCAGCACACAGCTGGACCAAATGACTAATCAGCATACATAAAGTATGAGGTATGAAGTCTGTGGTTTCAGTAGTGTCTGTGCAGGATGATGGTTGCATGAATGTATGTGTGAAGGTGTTGTAGCATGCAAACAAAACAAATACCACAACAGTCCAACCAAAGAAAACCAAACTAAATGGAAAACCAGGGAGCAGGGAGGTCTGATCTGGTCTTGACAGCAGCCCCTTGCCAAATGAGAAAACAGTCCCAAATACTCTACAAGGCAATTAGCCCAGGTGCCACCTTGTGATAAAAAAGTGTCATTAACTATTGACGGCACAGAACATTCAAACCGGTTCAAACACACATCTTCAGTTTATTAGGCTACACCAAGCTAAAACTAATGCAGTCCAGTGTCCTGTGCTACGAAGCGAGGTAACTGGCTTATCCAGGTAACTTCAGGAGTAACTTTGTGATGTCGGGTGTAACTTCCCGATTAACCCGTGCTACGAAAGGTGGATAGGGGTTACCCGAGATCTGTTGCCATGGCAATTTACGCTGGCTGCATCTCTAAACTGCTCCGAGCAGGTTTTGTTTGTGGGTTAACTCGAGGTTACCCTGTGGCCTATATGTCGACTACACACCACATCTAAACTCAGTGTTAATGATGAAGTACGCTTGATAAAACATGTTTTCATCCTGATTTGTTCCACTGGGGTTGCAGCTGAAATGAAGTTTTTCTTAACACATCATATAGGCTAGGCTATAGCCTAACATTACGTTCATACAGGGAGCCCTGCAGCCTCTGTGGTATAGAGATCTTAATTAATTAATGGGCCAGTTTCTTAGATGTAGCCCATCTACAGGCTCCAATTGAATTATCCTAAATGTTTTATTTAGATTGACTAATTTACGTGTCCAAAAAATACAGAGCCAGGGTGGGGGTTAATAAACCGAGAGAAGAAAATTCAAGATAAAAGTGGTAAATTTACAAGAACAAAAATCAGAAATTCCCTGAAATTAAAGTCACAAAAAATCACTCTGGTGTTTCCTTCTGTATATGCCAAATTTAGGCAAAGTCTCTGAGGTGCATGATAATATTGTGATTGTGGGCTAAACTCACGAGTAAATCCGATTGCGAAGTCTAATAATAATAAAATAATTTTCCACTGCATGTTGAATAAATGGCAGACGTGTGTGAGTGATGTTGCAGCCTTGCAAAGTATGTAGTTCCTGGGGGAAAAAAAATTATTTTTTCAGACTTTCTCTCACAAATGTATGACTATAATGTCAGCGAATATATTCAAGTTTTTAACTTGTAAATTTGTGAATATTAACTTCTTGTAACTCCTCCACATTCATCTTGGATCTTATTCACCATGGTAGTAGCGTTTCACACCAGTGTTACAGCAGTCAGAGTTTGTTAACCCTGAGTTTGCTTGATAACCCTGAGTTAAGTCTGAGTAGGTTGAACTTCCTTTGTACAGGCCACTGAACAACAGCCCTGAAAAAAAAAAAATATTACACAAAATTAAAACTTAGAAACACAAAAATTGGGAGGTGGGTGCTTATTCCTCCCACTACTCAGACATAAGTAATTTGGGTATTGAACACTAATTTATGTCAAGGTGACGCTGTAATAATCAAGTTCATGTTTTTGCAATTATCTCAAAAATGGCTTGGCTCATCGCTTTAATCTCTGCATCTGGTCCTCGACTCCGAAGATGTTTCATTTTTCGCAACCTGCATAGTTTGGACCCTGATTGTTGCTTTCTTCGGCTATATTTGGAGTTTACTTGTGTATGTGCTAATACCTGAGCATCCAATCACTGATCCTGAATCCAGGGAGGATGGTCTAGCAACACGGATGTAGAGGCAGAGACAGGGTGTGTTGAGGGGTGTGAGTCCTTGATTTGGAAGATGAAGGTGTAAGAACTGGATGATGAGTGTGGATGTACCTGTAAGGACACTGGACAAAAGGCAAGTATTCATAACGAGATGTAATGCATGGACGTCTTCTACCCTGAAAGCCTGGGCTGACACTAAGACGAGTCAGGCAGGTCCATAGATGTGTGGTTGTCGTCTCAGAGCCTTGGCACGGGCCAAACCTGGGTGCAGAGTGTACAGAGAGGGG